TACCGTGTTGTGAGCGAGTACTGTTGTTTACATGTATACGTTGTGGATCATTCCTGTATGTAGTATCTTGTGTTATGTTTAGAAATTTACGAACAATATGGCATGTGTTGATAATGACTGCTTTTTGTAAATGTTTGTATGTGTTTTTGTCTAAACCCAATAGTTGTAAATTGTGGTGTATTGTCTTTGGTATAACTCCAGTAGCACTAAGAATAATGGGAACTATAACAGTAGATTTCATTCTCCATTGCGTCTTAAGCTCGATAGCTATATCGGTGAATTTGCGGTGTTTTTCTGCATGTGTTTTAGTTAAGTTGTTAGTGTTGGGGATGGCAATGTCTATAATACAAATGGATTTTTGTGTTTTATCTATAAGTGTAATGTCTGGTCTATTATTGTGGATAGTTTTGTCTGTGAGTAGTGTCCTGTCCCAATATAATTTGTGTGTGTTGTTTTCGATTATTATTATTATTATTATTATTATTATTATTATATATGAAAGTTGTTTAACATTTTATTTCCCATAATAAGGCAGATTTCAGTTGTTTTTATTTCAGAAAACAAATGAGTGACGAAAAACAATTGAGTGACGAAAAACAATTGAATTTTTTTTAATGGCAGTGCACCTTTCCATTAGGCTTATTTGATCGAGATTTTTTTTCACTTCTCGACGATGTAACATGTTAGTACTCTAATACAAGAAAATTTTTCAAAAAAGCTTATAATCACATCAATAACATTAATCTAGATGTCCTACATCAGAATAAACAAATGAATGTGTACGTTTGTTACCATTTTATTGCTAATTTAATTTTGTCTTCAAGGTTTAATATGAAACGTAGTACGTACACGTTCATTTGTTTTATTTCAGATGTAGGATATCTAAATTAATGTTACTGATGTGATTATAATTTTTTTTAAATACATTTCTTGTGTTAGGGTACTAACATGTTAAGGCCGTATTAGACGATGCAATTTTTATTGCAATCCTTGCAGCAACTATTGCTGCTATTATTGCAGCAATTATTGCAAAAAGATCCAATGATTACACTATGCAATTTATTTGGCAATTTTTTTATACCCAATTCTAATCATGTATTGGTGCCAATTAAAGTGGAATTGGCATCACTGGGAAATACTTGAAAGCAACTTCACGTCTGTTGTAGACCAGGAAACGTGTGTTTTGTGACGTTTCCTTTGTTGAAGGCCGTGCAATTTATTATTTATATTTGCACGCACTTATTCACACTCATGGCCGTTTGCACCGACAAATTTAAGTGGAGCTTAGTTTAAGCGTAGCTTAAAATCCATGGCAACGATTATTGAGACAATGGTTGCCATGGATTTTAAGCTACGCTTAAGCTAAGCCCGGCTTAAATATGTCGGTGTAAACGGCCATCAGGTTCGTTAAATTCATTGAGTAGGTTTAGGTTTCCCTTTGTGAAATCGTTATTGACAAGCCACTGCCTGGTCCAAAAATGTCGTCGTCTTCTTTGTTTCTTTTTTTTTAAAAGAGCAACAGCAGACGCAATAACTAAAGATGCGGCAGCAAATGTAACACCAAGTCATGTTCACCGGGAGAAGACGCTATCCATAACCAGATGCTTCGCCACTGTAGTTCTGAAATGAAAAATACCATCTTAAGATCCTTCAACAACTGCTGGAATGATTCTACCTACCCCTCAGAATGGAAGCAAGCCATCGTAATTCCTATACCGAAACCAGGAAAAGATCCGTTGCAGGCACAAAGTTATCGCCCAATTAGTTTGACATCTTGCTTGGGAAAACTGCTAGAAAAAATGGTTAATGTGCGGCTACAAACATTTCTCGAAAGCATTAACGTATACGTGCCTTACCAAACTGGTTTTCGGAAAGGACGGTCAACGGTAGACCATCTGGTCAAACTGACAGACAGAATTCTGAGGGCATTTGACAGTGGTGAACATCTGGTTGCGGTCTTCTTTGATATAAAAGGTGCTTATGACATGACTTGGAGATATGGAATATTGCAAAATATGTATCAATACAATCTTCGAGGGAATTTACCTAAATTTATAAAATCCTTTTTAGAGGATAGGAAGTTCTGTGTAAGAATCGGCGATATCAACTCCAAAGAGTATGTTTTAGAAAATGGTGTGCCGCAGGGGTCAACACTTAGTTGTTCCCTGTTCGGCATCGCCATAAATGAAATAGCCAAAGGTGTTGAGGAGTCAATTGATAAATGCTTATACGTAGACGATTTAATGGTTTGTTGTTCTGGTAAGACGGTTGGCATAATAACTCGAAACCTACAAACGGCAATTAACATCATTTGTCATAACGCCAATGCTGTCGGGTACGTGCTGTCGGAGGAGAAGACAAAGGTTGTTCACTTTTGTCGACTCCGTAAGCCCCACTATGGCCCCGTTTTGTTTATGAACAATCGTATAATCAGTGTTGTCCAAGAAGTCAAGTTCCTCGGACTTACCTTTGATAGGGAATTACGATGGTCAAAGCATTTGGAGAATGTTGCGGCTACATGTAGAAAATCGCTGAACATTATGCGAGTTCTAGCTCATCATAGGTGGGGAGCTCACCCTAAGACCCTCCTAGATATTTATAAGGCCCTCATCCTGTCAAGGATGGATTATGGATGTGCAGCGTACTCTACATGTGGCAGTAATACTTTGCTTGAGAAACTTGACAAGATTCAGAACCTGGCCATTCGCTACTCTTTGGGAGCATATCCAACAAGTCCGGTAACATCGCTCCACGTCGAGGCAAATATTCCCCCTCTAGCTCTACGCCGGAAACAGATTGTTGCAAACTATTATATAAAAGTAAGGATAGATGATAAACATCCAAATTTTATATCACTTACTGATGCAACTACAATTGCTCGGCTAAATAGATGTAGATCGTTAGGTGTTAGAGCTAGAGAGGTATTAAACTATCTTCAACTGGATAACGTTGACTTTACGAATATGTCATCTATTGCACGACGTGAACTTGTGAAGACGAAAATTTATGAGCGGTGGAGTGAACAGTGGTCGGAGACTGATACGGCTTTGAAGAGGATCAAACAGAGTCTGGATCCGCTATTTTATATCGACGTTGGGCGTTTGAACTTGATCAGGCTGTACAGACTCCGGCTGGGGCATACTGCCCTCACTCATGGATATTTGTTGGCGGGCGAAGAACGGCCACTATGCGAACAATGTGGTGTTATTTTAACACCACATCATATTATTTCTGTCTGTCCGCAGTACACAGATGTACGTGTGCTCTTTAATATCGACCCTGTATGGGAAAATAACTTTAAAAACAAAGAGCAATGTAAAAATACTCTTGCCTTCATCCAAAGAATTGGTATAGCAAATGATCTGTGATATTTTTAAATTGTTGGTTTTGTATGTTAATAAATGTAACTAGATCCGTTTCTGTCCCATTGTACTTATATAGTCATCTTTTTCTGTGTAAAAGTATGTATAAAGGCGAATGGCCCTAGAAGCCGAAGCCTCAGGTGGGGTTTTAGTGGGTGAGAGTCCCACACTACTCCGGACTTTTCCATCCGGAGTGTGCATAATGCATTTCCCCACCTGACAAAAAAAAAAAAATAAAAATAATAAAAAAAATTGTTAAACTTAATTCAAACCATTCCTTTTGGATCGCAAGTGAAAATGTAAATGCAAATAGTGTAGGATTGTTATTATAACGTTAACTCAACGTTTGCTGCCTTTATTCCGTTACGTATGTAATAAAAGTAACCATTAACAAATATATGGAACTTACACAGATAACGGAAACAAATCTATATGCCTATAGTAGAAGTTAATATCGTGTAGTACGGTAACTGAATTATTATTAACGACGTTTTCAGTGCGCTTTTTGGCATCATACGCGCGTAAAGCTTGCATAAGACTGATATTAAAAGTATAAAGAAACATCGTAAATCCTCTAGTTAAATTTCGGTCGAATTCTGTGTAGGTAATACGCGAAAAGTGTTGTATTCGTAAATCCTACTGTAAGGCAAAGATGGTGGGTAATTATCTATAATTCCGAAGTGAAATTACGTTAAAANGGCAGCAATATCCATTTTTGAATTCCTCGTAAATAGGTTATTTCAGTTTTAACTTTAAATAACAAACCTGTATATAGCATAAGGAGGTAATGTTCTCCAGTGCATACCACTTTATTTTTTTTATAAATTAAATGTTACTAAAATAGTTACTAAATTGCAAGAAAAATTGCAAGAAAAATAGCACAAGTTCTATAACCAGAAAATTGCAGAATGTCTTGCTGCAATATTTGGTGCAAGAAATTGCACGTGCAATTTTAACATACACGGAGCAATTTTTCGTGCAATTTCTTGCGGCAATGAATTGCTGCAAAAATTGCAATAAAAATTGCATCGTCTAATACGGCCTTTACATCATCGAAAAGAGAAAAAATAATAAAAAACTCAATTGTTTTTCGTCACTTCTCCGAAATAAAAACGATTGAATGCTGCCTAATTATGGGGGAAAAAATGTTCATGTAGAAAAGCTTTCATGTAGAAAAAAATTCTTTATATAATTGGATATTTACCCAGATAAATAATATATTACATAATGGGCACCCTGTATACATTTATTAGAAAATAGTTGAACATTAACAAAAAAAACTTTATGAGTTAATATCTTGGAGCATGATATTAACGATAGATGATGTATTACTTTTATCTCGATTTGTATGCTATGTTAGATTTCATATACATTCTACAAACTTAAAGGAATCCAATAAATGTGAAACAATTAAACACGTTTCCAATTAAAAAAAAAAGGTTTGTGTGCGTTAAAAGGTTTCATTTACGACAGAATTGGTTGTTCGCAATCTTTAGAAACTTTTATGTGTTAAACGGTGTCGTTTAAAGTAGAATTTGTTGTTTGTTTAGTAATTACAATTAGCACATTTTAAGACATTTACATTACTAGAAAGTTTGTGTTTCAGTAATTTATGTAGGTACTAATATTCAACTTGTATTTGAATTTATCGTATGTCTCATAATTGCAATGAATTGGAATGTTTTAAAAGGTGTCGCTTAAAGTAGTATTTGTTACTACTCTCATAATCACAATTAGCACATTTAAATACTTTAGAAACTATGTCGCAAAACGTGTCGTTTTAAGTAGCGTTTGTTACTTGTCTTGTAAGCACAATGAGCACATTTAAAACTTTCAGAATCGGTATGTTTTAAGAGGTGCAGTTTGAGGTTGTTTTTGTTATATGTCTCGTAATCACATTTAGCACATTTAAAATCTTTAGAATCAGTATGTTTTAAAAGGTGTCGTTTAAAGCTGTGTTTGTAATTTGTCTCGAAATCACAAATATCACATTTAAAATCTTTAAAATCAGTATGTTTTAAAAGGTGTCGTTTAAAGCTGTGTTTGTAATTTGTCTCGAAATCACAAATAGCACATTGCAAATCTTTAGGATTGGTGTGTTTCAAACGGTGTTGTTTAAAGCTGTGTTTGTAATTTGTCTCGAAATCACACATAGTACATTTAAAAATTTTAGAAAGGGCATGCGTTAAAAGGTGTTGTTTCAGGTGGTATTTGTAATTTGTTTTATAATCGCAATTTCCACATTTAAAATTTTTAGAATCCGTATGTTTTAAAAGGTGTCGTTTAAAGCAAGCTTTGTAATTTGTTTCGAAAGCGCAAATAGCACATTTAAAATCTTTAGAATCAGTATGTCTTAACAGGTGTTGTTTAAAGTTGGGTTTGTAATTTGTCTCGAAATCACAAATATCATATTTAAAATCTTTAGCATTGGCATGTTTTAAAAGATGATTTTTAAAGTTTATTTTGCTATATGTCTCGTAATTACATTTAGCACATTTAAAACCTTTAGAATCAGTATGTTTTAAGAAGTGTTGTTTAAAGTAGTATTTGTTATTTGTTTCGTACTCACAATTCGTACATTTAAAAACTTTAAAATCGGTATGTTTTAAAAAGTGTTGTTTAAAGTTGCTTTTGTTATATGTCTTATAATTACATTTAGCACATTTAAAACCTTTAGAATCGGTATGTTTTAAAAGGTGTTGTTTAACGTTGCTTTTGTTATATGTCTTATAATTACATTTAGCACATTTAAAAATTTTGGAATCGGTATGTTTTAAGAGGTGTTGTTTAAAATGGGTTTTGTAATTTGTTTCGAACTCACAATTCGTACATTTAAAACCTTTAGAATCGCCATGCTTTAACAGGTGAATTTTTAAGAGATATTTGTTATAAGTTTTGTAATCACAAGTGTCACATTTAAAATATTTAGAATCGGCATGTTTTAAAACATGTTGTTGTAAATGGTATTTGTTATTTGTTTCGTAATAACAATTAGCACATTTAAAAGCTCTAGAATCACTATGATTTAAAAGGTGCCGTTTAATGCTGAGTTTGTAATTTGTCTCAAAATCGCAAATAGCACATTTAAATATTTTAGAATCGGTATGTTTTAAAAGGTGTGATGTAAAGCAGTTTTTATTATTTGTTCCGTAATCACAATTACCACATTTACAATCTTTATAATTAGCATGTTTTAAAACATGTTGTTGTAAGTGGTATTTGTTATTTGTTTCGTAATCACAATTAGCACATTTAAAAGCTTTAGAATCATTATGTTTTAAAAGGTGCCGTTTAAAGCTGAGTTTGTAATTTGTCTCGAAATGGCAAATAGCACATTTAAAGATTTTAGAATCGGTATGTTTTAAAAGGTGTGTTGTAAAGCAGTCTTTGGTATTTGTTCCGTAATCACAATTAGCACATTTAAAAGCTTTAGAATCATTATGTTTTAAAAGGTGTCGTTTAATGCTGGTTCTGTAATTAGTCTTGAAATCACAAATAACACATTTAAAACGTTTAGAATCGGTATGTTTTAAAAGGTGTCGTTGAAAGTAGTCTTTGTTATTTGTACCATAATCACAGTGAGCACATTTCTGAAACATTATGCTTTAAAAGATATTGTTTAAACTTAATCCTTACTATTTGTTGCATCTTGACCGAAGTCACATTCAAAGAAATTTGAGTGTTCCAACCACAATCAGTTTGTTGTGGTACTTCATCATCGAGCGATTTGGAGCACTGTGCAGTGATGGTAATTTCATCTTTTATTGTAACCAGTGCTTCATTGCTTACTAAAATGTTACCTTGAAGATCAGAATCGATTTCTTCTTGTTTTGGTTCGATTTTAATGACTGGTACTGTATCATTTCCGTCCATATCTGGACGTTATCAAGAAATGTTTTTGTTAATAAAATAAAGTTTTAATTTTACCAGTCAAGCTACAAGTAAAACTCTGGCTGTGGGTAGAACTGGTTAGGTAAACTTACAGGCTCATTACAATGAATAGGTATTCTTTATTCATTGGCTCATTAGAATCATATATATATGATTAGAATCCCACTCCAGTGGCGTATCAATGGTTTTTATTTTATCATTTATCACCAAACACTGCCTTGTTTAAGTTTATCTTAATTCGCTCAATTCCATTTCTTTCCCTTCAGGTGAAGTTCTTTTGGCTTTACCTTATTTATCTTATTATTATTATTATCTTTAGATGATAATAGCATGAGGTAAGCCTATTTATGCTATTTAGTTTAAGCAAATTTATAGAATTATTTCTCTTTCTTTTGATGTCTACTTAACCACCGGGTTCTAGGTTAACTTCACAGTACAGACAGAAATAAAATCAACCTGGCAACGTTGGAACTGGAGTGGCTATTGCCTCTAAATCTAAACCGATCAGTTTTACATTTTAAATCGCAAAGTGGCACGTGTACCTGTACAACAGGTGACTCGCCTTTGCTGCTATGCTAAAAGCAAGATGGAAAATTACATAGCCTTCCTGGTCAAATCAAACTAACGACAAAATATGTGGAAATCGGCAAATCGAAACTCATATATCCCACATCGATTCGAAACTGAAGTTTTTGTTAGCAGAATCTCGCCCCCGAGATAGGTAACTTGCCCTTCGTCCGAGGATTCCAGCCTACAGTTGAGAGGCGAGGTCAGTCCCGGCATTAGCTGTCGTAACTAAAGTGGTTACAGTTATTTAGCCAACCTCGTGACCGCCTCATTCACGGAGGAACAAAAAGTCCGAACGCACATAGAACAATTCGATAATTTGCATATTAAAAAAATGATCAAAATGTAAAAAAAACTACAGATCAAGACCATGGAATCACAATAAAATTAAAAATTGAGCAAACATTAAACAAAAACAGAGACGGAAAATTATAAACAAATACATATCAAATGTGGCACACACAGATAACAACAAACTGAAACTGCACGCCGCTTGTGTGACCTAAGTTAAAACGACGACGTCGGTACGTAGCCATAAAAAAATCGCGCAGTTGTCAGGTTTGAAAAATGTAGGTTGTATATCCAGGGTGGCCCTGTATATTAATGGGTCACGGATTAAATACATGGTAGATCGAATTAGACAATGTGTTAGGTTAGGTTATTAAGTATTATTTTCAAACGAATGTAGAACAAGTCGATGTAAGTAAAGGCATACAGATGCAAAATAATTATAACGAAATGGCTTAGCTAAGAAAACAGACAAATTTTAATTGGAACCTCGTTTGGAACTAAGACGTTAATAAATAGTGGTATTGTAGCGAATATTCCAGAAATTTCGATCGAGGCCCCGTGAAAGATTAGCCATCGGAGATAAAGGAAGGCGGACGTGACGCAATCTTTCCGGGAAATATGGCGCGTTTTGTTCTAGAACATTCGAAAAGACTCGCGACTACTCGAGTTTACTATATAAGCAAATCGAATTGCGTTTCAGTTCAGTTCCAGTTTCGATGCCGAAGTAATAAATAGTTTACGCTATTATAAATTGTGTATTCGTGAGCACGTAATTAGATTTACGTTACAGCATATATAAAAAAACTCCTACCGAGATTGAATAACCACATACTAAGAAATCTGTGTTAAAATGTTTGTTTGTTTGTTTATTATGTTCAATTATCAGAATTAGTGGAGTTAAAATCTTTAAAATCGGCATGATTAAAAACGTGTCGTTTAAAGTAGTATTTGCTATTTGTCTCGAAATCGCAATGCCCACATTTAAAATGTTTAGAATCGTTATGTTTTAAAAGATGTTGTTTAAGACATTGTTTATAATTTGTTCCATAATCACAATGAGCACATTCGAAATTTTTAGAATCTTTATGTTTTAAAAGATGTTGTTTAAAGTAGCGTTTGTTATTTGTCTCGTAATCACAATAAGCACATTTAAAATCTTTAGAATCGGCGTGTTTTAAAAGGTGTCGTTTTAAGTTCTCCTTGGAATGTGTCTTGTAATTACATTTAGCACACTTCAAATCTTTAGAATCGGTATGTCTAAAAAGGTGTCGTTTAAAGTTCTCTTTGGAATTTGTCTGGTAACTACATTTAGCACATTTAAAATCTTTGGAATCTGCATGTTTTAAAAGGTGTAGTTTAAAGTAGTATTTCTTATTTGTCTCGTAATCACAATGAGCACATTTAAAATCTTTGGAAACCTTATGTTTTAAGAAGTGTTGTTTAAAGTAGTATTTGTTACTTGTCTCGTAATCACAATTAGTACATTTAAAATCTTTAGAAAATGTATGTGTTAAAAGGTGTTCTTTAAAGTGGCATTTGTTACTTGTCTCGTAATTACACGTAGCACATTTAAATTCTTTAGAATCGGTATGTCGTAACAGGTGTCGTTTCAAGTTCTTTTTGGAATGTGTCTCGTAATTACACTTAGCACATTTAAAATCTCTAGAATTGGCGTGTTTTAAAAGGTGTCGTTTAAAGTAATATTTGTCATTAGTTTCATAATCACAATTAACACATTTAAAATCTTTAGAATCGGTATGTTTTAAAAGGTGTCGTTCAAGACATTGTTTATAATTTGTTCCATAATCACAATGAGCGCATTTAAAATCTTTAGAATCTGCATGATTTAAAAGATGTTGTTTAAAGTAATATTTGTTGTTTGTCTTGAAATCACAAGTATCACATTTAAAATCCTTAGAATCAGTATGATTTAAAAGGTGTCGTTTAAAGCAGTACTTGTTATTTGTCTCGTAATCACAATTGGCACATTTATAATCTTTAGAATTGGTATGTTTTAAAAGGTGCCGTTTAAGACATTGTTTATAATTTGTACCATAATCACAGTGAGCACATTTAAAACCTTTAGAATCGGTATGATTTAAAAGGTGTTGCTTAAAGTTGTATTTATTATTTGTCTGGTAATCACAACTAGCACATAGCAGCACATTACCTTTGTGTGTTAAGATGTGCCATTGCAGCAGTTGTTTATTCTTTGCTCCAAAATTACAATGAGCACAGTTAAAGCCTTCAGAAACGTGCTTTAAAAGACGTTGACCGGAGTTACATTGTTGTTGTATTTCTTCATTATCGTTAATTTCGTCTTTTATTTTAACCAATGCTTCATTGGTTACTAAAGTGCTTCCTTGAAGATCGGAATTGATTTCTTCTTCTCGTTTTGGTTCGATTTTAACGAGTAATTTGACATCATTTCCGTCCATATCTAGCATCAATAACGTTATCAGGAAATTATATTTTTGTTAATCAAAATTAAAGATTTCTTCCAGCCAACGCCTTTTCTGGATGGTGCAAAGTAAAACTGGCCGTGGCTCAAGTAGCGGTAAAGTTAAAATTCCGGTGTCAATAGGGACGCACCCCAATGACGTACCGATGGGTTTTTATTTTATACTGTTGTGGTGGAACATATGGTAGCTGATACGCATCGCACCTCAATCACCAGTAGAAGCTACACGACGTGATGTCAACAAAATCAACATGCCAAGTTAATCGTAATTGAGCATGAGACATCTCTCTGAATCGTTAAAGGGATCGAAGAAACACACGACTTGCGTGATTTTACATAAGCAAAATTTATTCTGCAACCACAAATGAAATTAAACCTAAAATCCTTTTCGACAAAATTGGACCACAATCGCTGAATAAAGAAACCCCGCATATGCGTAACCTTCTCAAAAATTTGATTTAAAGCGACGTCACATTCAAGGATGTTAAGTACAAAACCTGTTCACGTAGTATAAATTAGTTTATTGGTAAAAAGGATAAAAATCCAAACTTATTAAATCATACAATCGGTACAAATCTTGGACTACATGATGTCGATCTGCTGTTGTATAGTCGCCTCTTACGACACGCAGTGCACTCTGCGGTAGGGGTATTCTGTACCGCCCCTACACGGGTAAATACGACCCGAAATGTCGTAGACCTCTCTCACACTCTTGAGAATTAATATTTAACTTCACGAGAAATTTGTGCCTAAAAACGGTTTGTGTGCGTTAGAAGGTGTTGTTTAAGACAGAATTTGTTAACGTCTCATAATCACAAGGAGCGCATTTAAAATTAGAAACTATGTTTCAAAAGATGTTGTGTAAAGTAGTATTGTTCTTTGTTCCGTAATCACAATGAGCACATTTCAATTCTTTGCGATCTGTATGTACTAAGAGTATTTGTCTTGTAATCACAATTAGCACATTTAAAATCTTTAGAATCGGTATGTTTTAAAATGCGTTCATTTGATTTAGCGTACGTAACAGTCCGTTGCGTGTAAATTCAAATACGCATTTTTTCGGGTAGTCAACCGGTATTTCGAAGTATAATTTGTCAGTTAAATGAAGAAGAAAGTATACAGGAATAGTTTGCCGATTGCTGTCCAAAGTTAGCGTTCACGGAATTAGTTCCAAGTTATAGAGGAGGAGGTGTTAATTAAAAAAAAAGAGTTAGAATTTTAATTTAACATATAAATTTTAAAAAAATCCAACTGAATGATTGAATACCTATGCCCCTGATAGTGTTGTTTTAATTATAATTTTTGGAACTTCAAGTTTATTGGAAAATGGAAGATTTTTCTAATTTTCTCGAAAACGAATTGACCGATTTTAAAAAATCAAACGTCAAAATAAAGGACTTCGAAAGACCTTTCAAATAAGTTATTACTCAATATCACTTGACATTTAAATTTGAACCTACTTGCGAAAAAAAGGGGGTGAGAACAATGGGCCTTTGCTGCACCTAAGTGCTGCCTGATCGGACAATAGTCCAGAATTTGAGAAAGGACCCTTATGCGGGTAAACAGATGGGTCCAACTCGAAGGAAGCGGGTGGTAATGGACATAAGAAGACCCAATTACGCTCTACGGTCCTAAACAGTGGCCGAATTGGGGGGTATGCGGAGGTATTGCGTACGACCACTTTTTATAAATAATTAAAACGTACCCCCACATATATCGTGAAACAAAAACGTACCCCAAAGGATTTGAAGATTGTTGACCAACCATAAAAATTAAATTTCAGATTTGTTTCCCAGAAAA